GGACGGTCACTGCTCTGGACTCATAAGTGGAGCATCATAAGAGGGCAGGGCTGCGAGGATAAAGATCAAAAGAACAAAACTGGCACGGGAAGCATCGCTTTTTAAAAATGCTCTGTGCCAGGCAAGCTGAAGATAGAATGATAAATGTCTCTTGCTTTCAGACAAACAGCCAACAGTCCTTCAGAAAAATGTGCCACTTGTTGGAAATACAGCGTTTGTAACAGCCCTGGAGCCAGTGCCAGACGCGTTACGATTTAAAGGCTAGAAAAACAAAATTTGACATTAGTTGATTTTTAAAAAGTATTTCTACTCTATTTACTATTCAAATCCACAGACGTGTAGGTGAGGACCTGCAGTGCACGCTTGGAGTGTGTTCTCGGTCCAGGGCCTTCAAGAGTTCACGGAGAATGCGGCTGATAAAACACTGGGCGTGGCTTCAACATTTTCTGCACCAGGACAAACTCATAGAGCAATTCCAGTGCCTCCACGCTCCAGAAAAGAACTCAAAAACCCCTCACACAGGGCTGCACAGAGGCAGGTCGGCCAGGCCCTGTCCCTTATCCGGGTGACAGCCCCCAGCCCCGTAGTTCAGCTGGCTGAGTTAATGCGGTAGACAAAACCTCCCCTTACCGTAAGAAATTCCCTAGGACTCTCTAAGACCACCAGCCTTCCTAGAAAATGACTTGGCTTTTACTACAAATAGATGTTTTTAGGCAGTAAAAGTACAAGAACGTGCCCTAATTTAGTTGCGGAAGTGCAGGGTCTTGGTCTTCAGCATGATCACGTAATTTGCAGGAGAAAGACCAGGTCGTCCTTGGCCACCCCAGACCCTCCTGTGGCCCACGCAGTCCCCAGGAAGCGGCTGATGTCTAAGGAGTCTTTGCCGAGTGGGTAGTCGTTTTAATTTAGTGTTGGTCACCCCAACTGTCATGACAGATCAAACATCAGAAAATCTCTCGTGCGTAAGAGCAACCTGTCAGATTTCTTTTTTTTTTTTTTTTTTTTTTTTTTAGTTGTAAAAGTTGGAGACTTTTTGCAGAATTTTGAAAAACTAGCTTTTGACTCCATATCGCATGGTGAAAGGAAAAAGACTCAATTGTAGCGTTTTGTGCTTGGAGTTATTTATTCGCAGGAAGAAAGATGGCAGCTTTTCTTCTGGTCACCCGTCTCCACTGTAGTCATTTTATGGTGTCTACAATTTAAATGGGCCAGCGCTGCCAAATGCATCTGAGTTGTAAAGAATCGTTTTATTTTCAGAACTTAGAAGGCTTTTGGGCAGGGTGGGAGGATAGAGAGCAGAAGGGAAAAGAAAAGACAGCATCTGTGCATTTCTGAACCAAAAATACTCCCCTCGTCGCTAGCCCGACGCCATACCATGCTCTCGCGTGGCGGCTCAGGAGCCGGTGCTCCTCGCCTGAGAACAAAGCGCACTGTTGCTGCTGCTCCCGCTCCCCTCCCTGCCATCCCCTGACATCCCCTGCCAGCTCTTCAGCCACCAGGTGGACTAGTTATTAGGAAATCAGTTAGTGGGGCCAGTGGGTTGCATGGCGGCTGACCATGTTCGAGTCCCAGACCTGGCAGCTTGCTTTCTCATTTTCACTCTCTCTCTCTGGTCAAATTAAAAAAAAAAAAAACAATAACACAATAAATAAATAGATAAATAATTCTTTCAGGAAAGGAAAAGAAAATTGGTTAGTGCTTGCTGAAACTGGCCAGCAGGCGTGGTTTCCAGCTCTGGAAGCGCGTTCCACGCAGTTTTCCTGTTGCCCTGACCTTGCCCTGAACTCCCGCAGGGACTTGGCAGAAGCATGCTGGGGCTGTCCTCCGCTGGGGCTGCCCTGGGCTGCAGCAGCGTCCCCAGAGGCGTCCCTGGAGCCAGCAGGGCAGGGCAGGGCAGGGCCGAGTGCCTGGGAGCTGCGTACAAGGTACCTGGCGGAGAGTGGCCCTGGTGTTTTCGCCATTGGAAGACCTTCAGCTGTAAACACAAAGGTTTCTGACATTTTCAGACCCTGTGATGCGAAGTCCCCGCCCCGGCCAGCTAGCTCAGTTCTGACGCTGGCACTCCCTGGCAGCTCCCAGTGGGAGGTTCTGCGCAGGAAATGCACAACCTCCTGGGTTATCCAAAGAGCCAGCCCAAGGTGCCTGCGGGGAGTGGGGCTTCCTGCCGTCACCGTCACCCACCTTCCTTTTCCCTGTGTCCCCAGCCCCAGCCCAGGGCAGTCCTACCCCTTCTCAGTCTTGCATTAGGCTGGGGAGGGAGGTGGCCCTCCACGCTGCCCATCCCATCCCGGCTCCCAGCTTTGGGGAGCTTGTGAAAGGCTGGGAGTTACTAGGGGAAAGGACAGAGTTGGGCTCAGGAGTCGGGCTGGGGAGGGACAGACTAAGGAGGAAGATGGAATGGGAGGAATGGGAGGGAGAAAGGGTCCCGCTAGCTACTGAGAGGGAGAGAGGCCAGGGACCCGAGCCGCCTGTGGCAGGCTTCCAGCACCGAACCACAAGAGAAGGCCTGGCACTCGGCCGCGTCGTCTTGCTGGCGGCAGTTCCTCAGCACCTCTGTATTTTCTGGGGTTCTTTTTTTTTTTTTTAATGTATTTCTTTCTCCATGAGCAAGAGAGAGACTGAGAGGCTGAGAGACAGCCTCTCAGCAGGGTCCCGATGCTGCTCTCAGGCCTAGCCAGGTCCGGTCACAGCACGCGTGTGCCTGGGGTACTTGCGAAATCTCCAACACAGACCTGGGCCCAGCCCTCTTGCCCCGTGCTCCCAGCCCACTGCAGCCACTCGGGACTTCCTGACCGCCACCCTTTCCCCTCCGGACGGCCCTGCGCCCTGCCTGCCGGCCTGTCTCCTGGCCTCTCTGCTGCCTCAGCGTAGGGCAGTGTACCCACCTCGTCTTTAGAATGACCACATCCCTGGGGCTCTCTCGCTCCCCTCCCTCCTCCTACACCTCCTCACAGGGGAGTTCCTCTCACCCATGGCCTCCACGTGGACGAGTCGCGCCCTGAGTGTTTCTCAGGCTGCAGGCGTGTCACGTGTCCTGTCCTGTGCCCAGGGCCCCAGGCCTGGGTGACCACTGTCCCCACTCACAACCTCCTTCCAGACGGGTGCTGTGAGAGCAACCCGTGCCTCTCCTGTGACCGCTGAGTGTGGGGCTGAAGGTACCGAGCCGTCCACTCCCTCCTCGCGTGTAACACATATGCGTGGGGGCCAGCGGGGGTGTGGCGGTTAAGGCACTGGACTCCCACGTGGCAGGCCGTGCCTGAAATCATGCCAGGCACGTGTGCACGCGTGCTGAGGATCCTGAGAGGAGAGTGGAGAAGGGATCCCGGCATGGCCATCGCCCCGGGGGAAGAACTGACTTCTCACTGTCCCTCTCTCCGTCTCTCTCTGATGTGCCCACCCCCCCCCATGACAAAAACCTAAAAAAAAAAAGGCAAATACATATCAAGGCTTGGCCGAGTGCACAAGGAGACAGGACGTCGGCAAACACCGGGGCCCACCATGGCTGCCTGACCACGCGCAGGGCTCCGCTGACGCCGCGCCACGGGCTCAGTAAGGCTGGCTGCCGGACACCTCGCGGGCCCCGCTCAGGAGCCACGGGAGCGTGTTTCTCAGGAAGTCGCGGGTGGCATCCAAGCTCAGGGTGCTCCTGGGGTCGGGGTGTGCTGAGGGCCCCTTCTAGGTGAGGCTTCTCTGTGCTCCCACTCAGGGCAGAAAGGGGGTCCTTCCCTGGGCCCCTCTACCAGAGCTCTGCTCTCATTCCTCAGGGCTCCCCGTCATGACCCAGTCACCTCCCAAAGGCCCCCTCCGCATACAATGGCATGGGGTTAGGATTGCAGCCCAGGCCAGGCGAGGGGAGCCACAGACATTCAGCCCGTCCTGTGCTCTGGCTCTGGGAAGAGACTGACACCCTCACCTGTGCCCCAGGGCAGCACAACAGAGCCTTCACAAACGTCCCAAAGACTCCGTCCTCAGACTGCCCAGGCCTCCGTCCCTGGTTTCCAGCCACCTTGCCCCCCAGCTACCCAGAGTGAAGCCGAGCTCCCCGTGGGTGCCGCCTCTCAGGAGGGCGCTGTGCAGTGGTGGGACATTTGTCCTGTTTGTGCCTGTCCCCGTGTGCCCTTAGGCCGAAGCTCCTCAGTGTGGCAGAACTGACCTTCAGGCTAGGGGTCTTGGTGGGAGCTGCCCTGGGCGTGGACGTTCAGCAGCGTCCCAGGCCCCTGCCCCCCAGGCCACAGCACCCTCCCCATGGTGACAAGCAAGGCCATCTGCAGACAGGACAGTGTCACCCAGCTGAGTACCGAGGGCCTAGCCTGAAGGCCCCTGAAGCCCCTGGAGTGTCCTGCTGCAGTGTTGATGTGGGCTCGGGTTCCTCTGTGCCTCCGGGCAAGCTGACTGCTGTCACAAGGCAGTGGCACAGGTGCTGGTGACCGCCGAGGGGCTTCCCGGTCCCCGTGGTGAGGACTCGAGAAGCCACGTGGATGCGTGTGGTTCGGTGTGTATCTTCACACTCAACAGTAGAGTGAGCTCGCCACACTGTGTCCCTGTCACCCCCCCCACCCCCCCACTTTCTGCAGTATGAAGAA